ACAAACAATAAAATATTTTTTAAATAATAAATTTTGGAAAATTTAAAATACAATCTAATAGATACATTTGATTTTCTCAAGCCCCTCAAATGCCCAACAAATTCTGTAGACAAAATCTTTCTAAACAGTTAAAACACACTAAATCTAAAGTTTAACCTTATAAATTTAATAAATTATAACTTAAACATTTAAACATTGGTTTCAAATTTAATTACCTTAACTTCTGAATTTTTATTAATATTGTGTCACATTCATCAGTCTCTTCACTCACCTTAAAAAGGCAAAAAAAACATACACAAAATACTATAATAATCACAAACCTTATTTCTAAATAAAAATTCATCACTAGAAATAACAGCTTGTCATCAAAGGGGCTTTGAAAGTATTCTTATTTTCTGGCAATAACAAGATATTCCAGACCCTCATATGTCCTGCCTTGAAATGCAACATGCTTCTCTGCAGGGAGCCCTCCACCCTTCCCAGCTCCTCTGCCTGGAATGTAAATCAGATGGGTCTGCAGAGCAGCGGCTGGAGGCAGAGCAGCGGCTGGAGGCTCCAGAAGAAAAGCCAGTAAATTCACAATAAACTTTGGTTCACATCCCGGAGAACCAGAGTGCTTAAGTTACTGAGGTCCAGTCTCTGTTACTCAAATGCAATTCCTTACTGATGTAAATTGTTATCCAAATAGAAAAGCCAATAGAAAGCTCTACAAAGGAAAGATAATTATTGAACTAAAGGGGGTGGGTGGGGTGGTAAAGAAAGGAGATGGGAAAGAGGTAGAGAGAGTGGTGGGATTTGGCAAACTGAAAATAGTTGCATTTAAGTAAGGATTTTAAGAAGTTTACTTTTCTCTCTCATGTAAAAATGAGAATTAGAAAGAACAGTAACATCTATAGCAGCGATCACCAAACTTTTTGGCACCAGGGACTGGTTTCCTGTAACACAATTTTTCCTCGGACTGGGGTTGGGGGGATGGTTTAGGGATGAGTCAAGCACATTACAGTCAAGCTCACCTCCCACTGTGTGGCCTGGCCCTTAACCAGTCCCTAACCAGTCCTGTCTGCAGCCCAGAGGTTGGGGATCCCTGGTCTATAAGATCACTTGTGAGAATTATGCCAGATACACATTGAGTGCTCGATAAATGTTGACTGTCATTATTATTTTAGGTGGGCCTCTGAAATGGAATAGAACTGGGGACCGGGACACCTTCAGAAATTTGTTCTTTTTCTCTGCCCCCCTTTTCCCTTTCACAACTGCTTTAATCCTATATCTTCCTGCAGATTAGCTTTTCTTGTGTCCATAAAACCTAAAGCAGTCACTAACGTCATCGTTCAAGTTTCTCAAATCCTTGGTTTGAGACAACAGCCAGTCTACAGCTATAATTTCTTTTAGTCCCAAATCCAAAGTTCCAGAGAGGCTGAATGCCCAGCTTTGATGGAAAAGTCTACTCCTGGATCAGTTACTGTAGCTGTGACAATTTGGGGGAAAGGACATAGCTGCTCCTGCTATAACCAGGAGAACAATCCCCAAAGTACGGAGGGAGAAGAGCAGGATGGGGGTGCTGCTGTGCAGACAATACAGTAGGCGAACCCTTCGGTACATTTTCTCTGAGTGGGCAAGTGTTGTGTGTTCTGACCAAGACCCCCACCTTGACCAAACTTTAGTCAGGCTTCTCTGAGTATTCATTTTGACCAGACCTTGACCATGGCCCTTCCATGTCCATCCTGTCTTCACTGTTAGGGTGGCTGGTGACATGGGCTGTGAAAGAATTCCCAAATTCACAAAGTGTAAAGTTTTTATTCACTCTCCAAGAGAGGAGAGGGGCATGGTATGCAGACATACACCACCCTTAAGGGGTGAGGGCTTTAAACTTCTATTGGATTATACTTAGATTAAAAAAGGATGGGGGGCTGCTATTGTGTGGCCCCTGGGCTGTTGGGACATTGTAACAGAGGATGCAGTTTGTTCCAGTGTTACCTTCCGCCTGTGGCTGCAGGGAGTGGTGAGTTCTGTTCTTGCTTCTGGTATTTTCGAGTCCTGGGGACAACTCAGAAGAGTAAAATGGCAGTCGTGTTCAACAAGGTCACAGGCCTGCTTGGCAAATGGTGCCACGATAGCAAAGGGCACTGGCTTTACCCTTTCATTGACCATGCACCTGCACGGCCTGGTCTTAGCAAGATTCCCACCCCCCTCCACCCTAAAAATCTGATCAAGTTCCTCATCCCCCTCCTTTGATGTAAAAATACTTGGTCTCCCTTTAGCAGGAATTCCCTTACCCTGATGTCTCCTCTTTCAATTTCCCATCCACTGGACTCCCTCCCTCTGCTCACTAGCTATAAATCCCCACTTGCCCTTGTACTCCAAGTTGAACCTGAGCTCTCTGCCCTATTACAAAACCCCTACTGCAATAGTCTCGCATAAAGTCTTACCGTTATAAAAGCTGTCAGAATAACTTCAATAGTTCATATACACAGGATTTGGATCACACAGTGTACACAGCTTTCTAAACGATTTGTTTAACAATACATCTAAAATAGTCAATGAAGTATTTTTCAACATTTTTATTAACTACTTATCATTGCTAAGATACCGAAAGTCAAATGTGACTTCAGAGGTTAAAATAATAAAAATCTGCATATATCAGATTAAATTTTTTAAAATAATGCAACCTCAGGGTCGAGATAAAGCCCCTTGTTGAACTCTCAGGAATTTTTAAGGAAATGCTTCTCAAATACTACTGACTAGAAAAGAGTTTTCTAAGAATCTTAATTTAAAAGTGCACCTCCTGGTTTTCTCGGCTAGAGAGAGTGTAGGCAAGAACCAGGGTATTATCACACACCGCTCTGTCCTCTGAAGTGGAGGGGGCTGTATCTGGGAAGGGCTGGTGGGATGGTTTCCATCTAACTTATCAAAGATTCGGAGAACACACAAGGGTTTTAAGAGAACTGAACTAATGAAAACACGGCCCACTTGCACTAAAATGGAGAGTTCAAAATGAAGTGACTGGGCTCCCAGCAACATACGGCTGGGCAGCAGGATGAGCAAACTATTCACCTGCAAACCAGGCACTGTAATGTGTAGTCAGTTAGGATGGCCCAGAAGGTGGAGCTCAGAACCACATCAGGTTCAGTCACCCAGTCACAGACGGCTGACGTTTCCAGGGAGGGACCCCTGGGTGTGGTTCTGTGGGTGCAACGACTTGAGACTAAAAAGGCAAGTTATCTGTCTTCTGTGACCTTAAGTGCAATGTGAATAGAAAAAGAATAACCACAATAATCACTTTCAAAATGTGGGGACAAGTATATGTAAAAATCAGTTAAGTATGAATAACATTTATTTATAACTTAGTGAACAGTGTCACGTGCTTCTAATAGGTCAAGTAAGATGAAGACAACGGATATAGCACCATGGAGATTACCAATGACCTTGAAAGGCAGTTTCTGAGAAAAGGTGTGTATGAAAGGCTTCCTGCAGCTTAATTCGAGAGTGAATGGAAAAATGCTGGTGATGGTAGAACACAGTTTTGGATCATCCTGAATTCCCATGTTAAAAGAAAGTCAATAGGCAGCGCAACCAAAAGCCCATGGATAAAGTTTACAACAAAAAAATGGTGAACTGTAAAGCACATCTAGGATAAATGAAACATGAAAAGCCAACAGTATCTATCTGGGGGAGCAGGGTGGGGGTGGGGGGAATGGAGCAAATACAAATTCAGAGAGACAGAAAGCAGAATGGTAGTTTCCAGGAGCTGGTGGGAGAGGAGAATGAGGGATTGCTGTTCAACGGGACAGTCTCGGTTCTGAGACACACACCAGTGCTGGAGCTCAGTCGCACAGTATGAATGTACTTAATACTGAGTGTACACTTAAAAACGGTTAGGACAGTAAATCCTGGGTATGTGATACACAAAAACTTCAGGAAACTAATCTCATAAAAATGATTAGAATTATCTACATTAAATCCTGTGAAGATATTTTAATAAAAACAGAAGTATTATACAATACTAATAAAGAAAATTTAAACGCTCTATACACATGAAAGATACATCTACTGTTGTTATGATGTCAATTCTTTATAAACTGATCGAAGGACTCAATGACATCCCAATCAAGGGAACTGACAAATTAATTCTAAACTTTAAAGGGAAATGCAGAAGACCTAGAATAACCAAATACTGAAAATGAACCACACTGGAGGGCTCATATTACCTTCTTTAAAGACTTACTCTTAACATTGGCTAGTGTGTCTCAGTGGATTGGGCGCCCGCCTGCAAATGAGAATGTTGCTGGTTCGACTCCTACTCAAGGTACAAGTGCTGGGCTGAGCCAGGTCCCCAGTTGGGGGCTTTCTGAGCAATGGATTGATCAATGTTTCTCTTCCTCTTTCATCCTCCTTTCCCTTCTCTCTCTAAATAAATAAAAATCTTAAAAAAGAACTCTATCTAAAAAAAACTTACTCTAATTCTCATATTTAAGATAGCTTGTCGCTAGCATAAGAATATTAAAAAGGAAGCAGGACAAGGGAGCTTTTAGCCAGAGAGAAGCTAAAAAGCTTGTGTTTTCCTTTTGTATTTTTGTTCTCAAAGAACCACAAGGAGACTCTAAAAAACTTAAGAGACAGCTGATTAACATCCGAAGACAACATCTTGGAAAACACTACCTAAAGGACTCTAATTACAAATGTATCCAAGAGAACAGAGAAAAACCAACATGGTTTTCAATGGAAAGTTTTATTACAGTACAGAGTTAACAAGTTCTGAGTGTTCTACACAGGAAAAAACTGGTCAACTTAGATACTTCATAGAAAAATTAGCATTCACAAAACAAATATAAATCCATAGTTGCTTCTGTGACTAACGGGGGAAAAAACTACTTAAAAAGTTACCAAAACTCTAACCACATCTGACACTATTATAAATTTCAAACAGTAGATTTACCACATATATTACATTTTCAAAATTCTAATATTGCAAAACATAATTGCAATATTGCAAAACGTAATTTGGCTACAGCTAACTGTTTCAGGAAAGTTTAAAAAATTAACAAAGTTATGATTATAAAATTTTTGTAAAGATTTTTTTGTAAAGTAAAAATGAATCCTTTAATCTTTAATTAAGGAAAACAGACAATCCTCTTAAATTTCTTATAAATAGCTCTCAAGACATATATTACAGATCTGCTACAAGCTTTCTTTATCTGAATTTCCCAGGATCCTTCACACCAAAGGATTACCTTCAAGAATTCTTCCGTCATTTTACTCACATAAATATGAGTAAACTCCTGTAGAAGTGAATTTAGACATATGCATTCTTAATCTACCCTTCCCCAATTAAGTTTTTGCTGAAAGGATTTTACTTAAAAAAAAAAAAAAAAAAGACGGGGGGTGGTGGGCTGGGATGGGAGTAAAAGACAGAATACTGTAGTTGAAAAAAAATTAAATAAAAAAAATGTTTTAAAAAAAAAGGAAAAAACCTCTTTGGTTAAAAGTCACATATTTGCAATGAACACCTCTGCAAATGATTTACTAAGGAAGAAAGGAGAGAAAGACCTTGAGAATGTCTAGCCTTAGTTCAGAAGATCTGTGTAAATAAATAGCTTTCTAGTCCTGCGAAAAAGGTCTAACATGAGAGAGTCCATCTCTGCCTGAAATACAACACTGTATTAAAACGCTCGAGTCTTTACAGTTATATTAAAGATGGCAGGAAACATGGAGGCCTTAAGAACAAGGCCATAGGGAGTTAGTGCTCTTGGCAATTAAGAAGAATGTCCTACAGAGAATTTCATGAACCAAGAGGCCACTCTACTTTCTCTGGTTAAAGAAAGCCCAGTATTCTCTCTGGTCATATAGGGTCTCAGCCCAAGGTCACACCCTTCTTAGTCATGGAATAAACCCTCTTTCGTTTCGAAGAGGGGTAGAACACGAATGCGCACCAAAATGAGAGGCTATTTAGAAAGGCAGTCCAGGGAGAAAAAAACCCAGGCATCTCAAATATAGGCTCTGGAAGTCCCTTTTTTGCAGATAAATGAAGCACCAATGGTAGTAAACTTCTGGCCAAAATGAAGCACATGATTTTAAAAGGCAGAGGGTGACAACTGGGGTCAGTGGAATTACCACTGCACGGAGGTCTTCCATAATGAAGGAGCCTCTTGAGCAGCTGGAAATGAACGATTCGGTGTGGAAGACCCCTGCTGGCCATTGCTGATGGGCACCAGAACCCCAAGTCCCAGGAACCCCACCCACCCACAGCTCCCACAAACACAGTTCCTCACACTGCAGAAGAGCTCCAAATACTTCTGGTGACCAACACCTTCAAGCCATTTCCCAAGAGACTGTGAGGACAAAACTGAAACCGACAAAAGCAAAACCCAGTAAGGACGAAGCATGGTGTCAGAAAGCTTTGCTAGAAAAGTCTCTGCCTTCGGTCAGGTGGCGTGTCTAGGTCTACAGCAACACTCCCAAAAAGAGCCCCTTCCCCCGCTTGGTCTTTTTACTCACGGACATGATAGGGGAAATTTTTTTCCATGTCAGATGAATAGCATAGAGGAAACACAGAGAATTTTAAAAACTTTTCCAGTTTTCATCACTAAAGGAATCTGACCAGAAGCTTTTAGGAACACCTTTAAAAAAAATCAGGTACAAAAAGTTGTAGGAAGCCAAAGTCTATTATTTAAAAAAAGAATTTATCAAATAACAGTATCATTATAGCAACTCAAAGCAATTGGCACAATTTCTCCAGTTTCTTAAACCACAACAGCACAAAAATGCAGGTTCTTTAAACCTGCATTTGAATGTTGACTCATCACCTGAGTATTGTTTATTACAATTAATAACCACTAAAGTCAATTTATATGCCCATGGTCCTCAGAGTATATCTACATCTGTCTTATCACTCAGATAATCTTGCATGAGAATAGAAACCAGGCGACCATAACCAGTCTTCGTGTGTTGGACCAAGACAGGACCTTCAGGCCACAAACCCAGTCTTAGGCATCTGGAAAGGGTGGGGTGGCTGGGCAGGCTAAGGAAGGGAGCTCCCAGGGCCCTGCCACTGGCAACGTCCTTTCTTTTGTGTCTCCCTGAGCTTCTTTCTGCAGGGGGGATGGGGGGGGGGTCAACAAAGACCAGCCAAAGAACACACGGCTTTGCCAGCTTGACCTTGACCTGCTCTAAGGACCAGTACTGAAGTCACACAGCTGGCTGCCAGACCTCGAGAACAGGAAGAAAATATAACAAAAGTAGTTGCTGATACAACGCTGGTCTTGATCTGCCTCTCCTTGTGGTCTTTCCTAAAGCAATCTCACTTCCTTGGAGCTCTTTGTCACTGCACCTGGTGGCCACTGCAGGGGTCTCTGCCAGGGAGCTGCTGCTACACAGACAGCCCCGCCCTCTCAGCCCGCCCCCACCCACGAGCTCACTCCCACTGGCTTGCTGCAGGCCCACCTCAGCCATTCACTGTGTGGCTCCGGGTCATCCTTCAACCACTCAGCACAAAGAACTGCTGGACTAAAAAAAAAGGTTTTTTCTCACAAGTGCTTTTAATAACCGAATCTCAAGACACTGTCATTAAGGCAAGTTCCTAGAGGATTTATTTTCCTTCCTTGTTTTCACAGGAGAAGGGCAAAAACAGGGAAATGAAAAATTTGACTCATTTCCAAAGCCAGCCTTTTGGCACATGGAAGCTCAGCTTGCAGGGAACCGAATGGTGCCCGACTCAAACACACTGCAGGGGGCAGGGCAGCCTCGTCTCAGACCCTCTCTGGCAGGGGGGGTTGAGGAGTCTGTCCATCCCACAGGAAAACACCGGCAGGGGTGTCCCCGTGATGTCTCCACTGGAGTCTCTGATGGACTTTCCACGAAGTCAACTCCTACCCGACTCAGAGCATCAGCCCTGAAAACGAACATCTTCTTGGGCAGCTGCCCAAAGTCTAACATCTCATGAGTATTACTTTATTGGTATGCATTTAAAAATTTTCTCTGGATGTTATTTATGACTTAATTAAATACCCCTGCAACCCAACTTTCCTTCTAAGTATATCTGGTCACGTCTACAACTTGTACAACAGGCCTCACCCGGCCGGCCCTGGCTGAGCTGCTGCCTGCCACCCTGTTGTCCTCACCTCAGCACATCTATTCCGATGACTGTCGTGGACATTCACAGTGTTGTCCCATTACAGATCCGGACATCAAACGCCCTCTGCCTCTGCCATTCCAAAGGCCTCAAGGTGGAAGAGAAACACGGGTGGCTGACCTTAATGACTGAAGGTGGGCGCAGCAGGCTTTGGCCTGGAAGCAACTTCTCAGGTAAGGTCCTATGGTATTATTACTATTAACAGCACAAACAAGTAAGAAGTATAGCTCTCCATCGTTTAGACAAAGAAAACAACACGAATATTGTTCCACAGTCATGTGAATAATTCCACAAACAAGAGTCATAATCACTGTAGTAACCTGGATCGGGTGGTGATAACACAGTGGGGAATGACACAGGTGGTGATAGCAAACTGTGCTTTTTCACATTAGAACAAAGATGCTGAACCCAGAGGGACGACGAGACCCCTGGGAAGGGCTACGGAAGGACTCGGGTAGAAGTGATTCCCAGCATCACGACTTCGGAGGGGAACGGGAGGAGGCAGCACCGGGGGAGTCAGAAGCAGGGGCTCCCTCTTACACCCTACACTTATCAGTGGGAGGGGTCTGCACTGTCAGGGGCTGAGGGCTCAAGATTTGGCCATGTTTTCTATTCCAAGGGTAAGAATGAGAGGTCACACAAGGGAAATGTCTGTCCCTGTGAGATGTACTCCAAACTCTGTTTTGGTAAAAAACACGCAGAAGAAAAATACTACCCTAACTACTATTCCAGTTTTTAGGGGCAAGACACAAACAAAATATATGATCACAAAGGAGCGACCTAGTTGAAAACTTCAATTCTTTTGGGGTAATCCTGTAGTTTCCTTTTTGAATTTTAGAATTAAAAAGCTAATCAGGTGACCTGTTTTTCTGTAAAGCCTTTTCGGGGACACTCCAGCCAGGGGATGCCAGCTTTTCAAAGAGCGTCAGCAACTGCTCAGACCCCTGGGACACTTGTTCAAAGGATGTCACTTCCAGCCTCCAGGCCTGCCGAACCAAGGTGACGGCTCAGCTCCTCACACGTAGAACTGCCGAGTGGGACAGCAGAGGGGAGCGACCAGCGTCCACAGGTACAAGAGGACACACATCCAGCAGGAGGCCATCTTGACCCAGAAGATGGACCAGCTTCCACTGAAGAAAGTTTCGATGTTGGCGCTCTCATAGCTGTGGAGATAAGAGAGCCATCCCTGGTCAGAGCCGGAAGAGAACAGGTGGGGAGAAGGTTTCTTCTACCAAGCATCTCCCTGCTTCTGCCACTCTAGCCTTTTCTTTTTCCTAACCATTGACTTCATATACAATTCACTCCCGTTTAAAGTGTAAAACACAATGGCTTTTATTATGCCATAGACTTGTGTAACCACCACCACAATCCATTTTGGAACATTCTCATTGCCCCAAAAGAAACCCTGCACCCTCCAGCCACCCTCCCCAGTCCCCAGCCCCCGGCATTCACTCCTCTACTTTTGGTCTTTATGGAGTTGCCTAGTTGAAATGTTTTCATTTTCATAAAGAATCTTGGGGCCTCTTGGGACCAGCTCTTTCCACCCAGCGTGATTTTTTCAAGGTTTTTCCACGCTGTAGCACTTGTCAGCATTTTATTCCTTTTTACTGCTGAATAATATTCCACTGTCTGGATACAGCACATTTTGTTCATCCATCATCAGTTGGACATTTGTGTTGTTTCCACTTTTCATCAATGACGCTGCCATGCACTTTGTGTAAAGTTTTTGTGTGGACACGAACGGGCTTTCTCTTCACTTGGGCACACACTTAGGAACAGAGTTGTCAGATCATATCGTAACTTTGTGTTTAACATTTTGAGGAACTGCCAGACTGTTTTCCAAAGCAGCTGTACCATTTTACAATCCTACCAGGACTGTAAGAAGGTTCCAAATTCTCCACATCCTCAATAACATGTGTTAGCGTCCGCCTGATTGAGTACAGCTCCCTCCATTTTTTCTAAGCTTTTCAAGCCAAAATTTTCCAGAAATTCTCAAAGTATCACTGAGAAGCATCAGAAGCTCCCTCCCTATTTCCTCCCTCAAGAGAACGGCTGGGAAGAATCCCCCGTCCCTCTGTTTGAAACCGCCAACCACGCCATCCCCAGCCCAACGAGGTGCTCCTTACTCCTCTTCCTCATTTCGTTTTTCTCCCCCACACTCACCACTGTCTGCCACACTGTGTCTCGTTAGGATCAGGTCTCCCCCAATAGAATGTAAGCCCTGCCACCTAGAGCAGCGCGTGGCACACAGAAGCCGCCCAGTATTTGTCGAATGGATGTGTAAAAGGACGCACGATGAGCCTAAATGTCTATCCTACCTACATCCCAATTTATAACAGACTATGACCCAGCAGAAACTTTGGATCAGTCAAAGAATAATCCAGAAAGAATCTGCACTGTGACAGGGAAAGTCAGATGTATCATATAATATATAACCTGTATAATCTTATTAACCAATGTCACCCCAATACATTTCATAACATTTTTAAAAAGCAGATGACTACTTGAGAATTCTAAGTGTTTTCCTTCATTACTATTATTAATACTATATTCTTCAAACTGCCCATAAGGAGTTAACCTTCTTTTTTTTAACTTGTAATAACTGTGGCAAGTTCCAGGGTAAAGCAGGCTGCTAGACTGTCAGGAACTTTGAACTATTTCTGTAAAGGTGAGGACAGCTTGACTTGGAAAACAGTTTAGATGACTCCAGGAGATCTGATCTGTGTCTCAGCATCTTAAAGAATAGGACTTCCCCCTGGCTAGTGTGGCTCATGGATTGAGTGCTGACCTACAAACCAAAGGGTCGCCTGTTCGATCTCCAGTCAGGGCACATACCTGGGTTGCAGGCCAGGTCCCCAGTAGGGGGTGTGTGAGAGGCAACCACACACTGATGTGTCTCTCCCTTTCTCCCTCCCTTCCCCTCTCTAAAACTAAATAAATAAAATCATTAAAAAAAAAAAAAAAAAAAAAGAACAGGACTTACACTGCTTTTTCAGACTGTCCCTTCTGAAACATCTAAGAAAATGGGCCACTCACTTGAACCAGTTGGTGACGGTCATCATCACGTAGAGGGAAGCCAGAAAGAACACACAGTGGAAATAGGAATAGCTATAGACAGTGCTTTTCTTTTCATCATAAATGACACCAGGTCCTTCTTTCATGTTCCGCTGCTCTTCAGGGTCTGTGAACCATAAAACCAGCACAAGCTCAGAGAGTGAATGAACACGTGCAAGCTGAAAGACACACTCACTCCATCCCAGGGACGGTTCAGTAGAAAGGGTGTCAGGAGCCACTTGTACCCTCAGGCAATTTCCATCTGTGCCCTCGGCACACATCCCCAGCCCACCCCAGGACCTCCCTGAACAGGATTAGTTACCTAACACTCCCCTTATTTTAATAGAGCAGAAGAGAGCCATTAAAAACACAAAACTTGTTATAAGCTCAGAAGAAAGTGAGAGAGTGCAGACCAAGAATTCCCAGCCCCTGGGCGCTCCAATCCAAGAAAAGTTACGGTGAGCGAAAGAGGTGGCCCAAACAAGGTATCAGGACCTCTTGGTATTTTCCAAACTTTCATTCCTTTAAAAAATATACATTCTGTTTCTCTAAATCTCACTGTACACCTTACACATGAGCCAAAATACTAGACTGATTTCTCACCTGCCAGAATACCAACACAAACAAGCAAAGCCCAGCAACCCTTTGAGAAGAATGTGTAAAGTACACACACAGGAAACTGGCTTTGGAAGAAAAGTTTCCCCTCGCCGTTCAGTTCTTTGTACCTGAATCCCAAATGCCTATGGACTAGAGCTACAGGTGTGGAGGGCCACACAGATACGCAGGGGAAGGTGCTCTACTCACCTTCTCCATAGGGACCAAAGCAGAAGCAACACCGAGCTACCTGGGAGAGCAAAACCGACAGTCAGGTGGCTTGTCTTCTGCTTTTCTCTCCCCGCATCAGTAAGGCACTGCATGCCAAGCTTTCCCTTCTGAGTTATATCTCAGGCCCTGAACTGTACACTTTAACCCTTCGGAAGGTTCTGTCTAATCATCTGTTCTTCTCAGATGCTCTGGGTGCTGGTGATGGGAAATACAAAGGACATGGAGGTAAAGATCCTTCTCACAGGTGTGCACGCAGTTACTACGACTGCTGTGAGCTGACAGTCTCTAGACTGCAGCTCCCAGGCTTTGCCCAGGGGCAGAGTTACCCTGCCAGGGGGCAAGCCCTTCCTGGGCAACCCACAGGAGTGCGTGCTCACAGCAGGCATGTAAGGGGGCAGCCACTGGCCCGTGTTATCCATTTACAGTTGAGGAAACTGAGGTGAGGCAGGTTAGATAATTGGCCTGAAGTTATGCCACTAGCTTAGTGGTGGAGCTGGGACATGAATGCAAGATGGGAACCGCAAGGTCCATGATTCACAAGAGGCAGCAGGTAGCACGTGAGATCTAGCAGATGGTGGAGCCAACAGCATCAGAAATGGTGAAGCTAAGGTAGCTGGAGCAGGAGGCCCACCCAGGGTTCCTGTGAAAATCAGGCTGCTCCACTGGCAACCTCTCTGGCCGGGGACGGGAATGGGTGGGATGCTTTCCTTTGAAGAGTCTTTGCTAACTTTCAAATTCCGTACCATGTGTCTAACCTGCTCAAAATAATACACATAATTTAACAAATATCAGGGTATAGAAAATAACTACATGATTCCAGAAGGCGCCTAGGAAACAAATAAGAAACACTACATGTACCAAGAGGGTCTGGGAAAGGCTGGGTCTTGGCACTTTCTGACTGATAATATTTTTACTTCAAAGAACACTGAGCCAGGGACAAGGTCCTGGGAGCTTGAGCCTTTATCCATTTATACATCTCAAGGACACATCCTTGTTTCCCTCCTAAAGGGAATTTGTGATAGAGGGATCAGCCTTGACTGAATCTTGGATGAAGGGACACAGACTCACTAATTCCTTCGGGGGACCCAACAGGTGACATGCTGAGGTCCTAGTTCTTCTGAAGCTTAAGTTACCACAAGAAACTAACTCTCTTCCAAAGGTGCATCCTGTGAAACGTGATGCAAAAAGAGCAAACCAACTTCCATTCTGCGTGCTCTCCATTTCTGAAGGAAACACTGGGACTTTTTCCTTGGAATAAGAAAAACATCCTCTTAAATCTTACTTAGAGACATGCTGTTCTTTGCACTTTATTTAACTCTGTGCACAATAGGGATATTGAAACCACGAGGTACTGCCTCCACAGGTGGTCGCCCAGTCAGTGGAGAGAACAAACGCCCGCCTCCTAGAGACCAGTTTCTTCTGTATGATAGGCAGTAAGCTATTCAGACTCAGCACAGTTTTCTCCTTTGTTTTTAAGTGACAGAAAGAGCTGGGCAACGACTGGCAGACTGACAAGCCTTCATAATGGTTCCCTCTCTCCAGGTCAGGTGTGGGAAAGACCATCCCCAGAAACGCAGCTTCAGAAGAAAGCGCCCATCAGATATACCAGGGCTCTTAAACCCAGGAAAAGCCACTAGGATGCAGCCAGGGCGGGACGCAGGCCAGGAGACAGCAACTGGGCCCTGGGGTAGCAGTGGTTAGCAACTGCCAGAGTGCACGGTTTACATGTGGACAAATCAACAGTTTAAATGACTTTGTAAAATGAAGATAAAACCCTCATTGGTTTTTTATGAGGGTTTAAATGAAATGGCATGTGAAGCACCTAGAACAGCGCCTGGAATACAGCAAATGCCACAAGTCTTAGCCATCACTGGAACTTCCCATTCTTCCCATTCTTGGGGTCAGGGCTGAGTCTTCTGGCTGCCTCCATCTGGTTGGGCCTTTTTAGACTCTGATGGACGTCCCATTAAGGGCCTCAGAAAGACTTTTGTACAAGTAATAAAATAAGACACTCTGCTGAGTGATTGGGATCTGCCAACCAGCATGATTCTTTGGACACCTATTCACAATACCCAATAAAACGCCCACTTGATGGAGCTGATGCACTTAAATAAGCTAATGTACACACACTGCCCAGCCGAGGGGCACACAGCAGGTGCTGGTCCCTGCCCTTCTCCAGCGTTCTCTCCCATCTAGGAACAGCTGTTATGTAACCTCTCGGCTGTGCTACATGGAGGGCACAGACAGGTGTAAGACAAAGAAAGGGACTAGTAGTTAAACACACACACACACACACACACTCCATTTATGAAAAGAACAAAGCCACTCAGGACTCTGATGGGAGGTGGGTAGCAGGAGGCCACACAAGAGGCCCATTTTGTTGGGGAAAAATCAAGCATCTTCATTCCATAATCTATACAGGACACTTTTTGTATAAAATTTATATTCTTAGGATTATGGAATGCAGATAGATAAAAGTGAAAAAAAATAAACATAAAAAGCCTTTCTGGAAAAATGGGTCTCCTGAGATAAAGCAGGACAAGAAAAGGAAATGAACTTACTTCCAGTTCAGGAGCTGCATATCGCCCCTGCAGAGCGTCAGAACTCGATCTTGTCGTTGATGTCAGACTAGGAGACAAGCACAGAGGTCCGCAGAGCTCGTTACCGTGTGGTACCACATCGAAGGAGGGCGGGGCCGCCTGGTGAGCGCGCCGGCGTGGTTCGCTAACCTACCCAGTTCCCACTGCTTGGACAAATGTAGTCTACTTCAATGTCCACTTTAGTCCCACACTGGCTGACCAAACTGTCTACAGCTGATGTTGTTTTACATGAATTGTGTTGGACCACTTTGGGCAAAGTGAAATTTGTAAAGAAATAAGATGTCTTCTGGCCCCACAATCTTGTTTTTCCCTCTTGGTTTTCACCTTTTCTCCATTAATGCCACAAAAATTTTCTGATTTCACTTTTACTGTTTCCTTCCCTTTGACGAGTCTCACTTAGAAGGGATCTAGAGTAATGAAAGAACGCTGAGATGGCAATAAAAAGCAAGGGTGTAAAAAAGCCCAGGCCACAGTTCCTTACTGAGAAAATCCACCTAGAGCGGAACAAGGTTTTCTGTTTAGAAATTCAATATAGAGTAGTTGTCAGTGAGATTAAAAAAATTTCTCCAGTCACTTTCCTTGGAGCTTAAGGGGTAAAATGTTATAAAATTTGACTTGCAGGGGTAAAAAGGGTATTTATTTTTCCTGGGAAAAAGGAGGGAACATTTTAAGCTAATAGAAATATATGCAATACTTAGGGTTCCATCCAACTGTGTAAATTCATTGAGCTAATATTTACGAAAGGTCTGCCATGCGTCCAGCCCTGTTCTAAGCACTGAACACTCGGTAAAAAAGACAACCCGGTCCTCACACAGCTTCCATGCTAGCACAGAGGCAGGTGCGTGCGTGCGTGTGTGTGTTGGGGGGTGTTGGCTAGTGGAGAGGCAGGACTTGACAGGCTCTTTTCGACCAAATAAACCACATGAGGCAACACTACCTTCTCTTTTCACTTTTAACCTCTTTCCCAAGGGGAGATCAATGAGATGCAAATAAACAATAAAAAGACGTAGTCATAAAAAGGTCCTCTGGGATCTCAGCATATTGCTTCTTTTGTGGTCCATTCAAGTCCAATAACATCAGTTTCTTTTTTTTTAAAGATTTTATTTATTTACTTTTACAGAGAGGGGAAGGGAATGAGATGGGGAGAGAAACATGCAAGAGATACATCAATCAGTTGCCTCTCACACGGTTGCCTCTCACAGGCTCTCCCTGGGGACCTGGCCTGCAGGTCCTGGGAGCCTGAGGCATGTGTCCTGACTGGGAATCAAACCAGTGACCTTTCGGTTCGAGGCCTGGCGCTCAATTCACTGAGCCACACTAGCCAGGGCAAATAACATCACTTTCATTTCTGCTCTGAACAGATGGATGTTCATTGAGGCCCACTCCACTCCCACTTCCTGACTCTGAGCTTGGTCAGAGGAATGACAGATACATTTCGATGGCTGTACACCCACAAAACACGTACACCTTGCTCCTGCATCTAAGAGCGTGCTACATTTTTCCCCGACTGGTGTGGCTCTGTTAGTTGAGTGTCATCCTGCAAAGTGAAAGCTCACCAGTTTGATTCCAGGTCAGGACACATGTCTGGATTAGGAGTTCAGTGCCCAGTTGGGGCCTGCACAAGAGGCAACTGACTAATGCTTCTCTCCCTCTCTTTCTCCCTCCCTTACCCTCTCTCTGAAAAGAAAAGAGAAGAAAAGAAACCTATGTATACTTGTAAGAGTGTGGTATATTTTGTGCCTGTGAATTATGACATAGTACAGTACACATTGTCGATGGGGGAAAATAAAACTTTCAATTTTAGGAAGAGACCACTGCATGAAATTTTCATCTGAAAGATATTCACACTTCAAAGGGGGTAGGATAAACATTTCATTTCATAAATTGTTTGTAATAAATGGTTTCAGAAAAACAAAGCTTTTGACTGTGGCACTTTCACACTTCATTGCCACCATTAGAGAGCACTAAACAGGGTAACGTTTACCCTTACTTCTAAAAATACCTATGTCCATTGGAGACATGTAACCTCTGTATTACTGTAAAATAAGGTCTTTATTCAGTCATGACCTTTCCCTGTAAAACACTCTTATTGGAATTATCAAAAAAATATTGTTTTTACAAGCTCCTAAAAAAGCATAGGAAATTCCTACTGTCTGCACTCTGGCCTTAACTGACCCAGCAGCACAAGACAAGCTGTTGTACAATAATTCCTGGATTATCCATAACCTCCTGTCTCCTAGACCTATGGTATGAGAGATATTAACCAGGCCCTCCTGGGGGGTGTGAAAGAGACTAAGATATTTGTTGGGACAATGCCTGACCTACAGAGAATGTCCAATACACCATGGCATTGCTGCTTTATCTAGCCCCTGGTCACCAAAAGCCAACAGTGGCTTACAGTCAGTGTGATACCCAAAAAGATAAGACACCTCCTGTGCTCCTCCTGCCAGGAGCCATTGCCATGCCCACTGCCTCTTCCACATTGGCGGAGGACTTCCAGACACAGGGGCCTTCTGCACCCACTTCTGTAGCTTTTGGAACTGGCCGAATGCCTGCAGGTCACAGAAAATCTCTAAAAACTAAGTCCAGACTTTCCTATTGAAGACCATGGATTCTGCTTCCCTAATGAACTCACAGGGCAGACCTTTGGGAGATCCCATACTACTTCCCAGCCTCTGTGTGATGAAGTTCAGTTATATCCCCGCTGCACTGCAGAACTGGTGACTCAGAGCTCCCAAAGGAGACCAGAGTCCCATGTGAACTGGGGGCAGGCCCAACACGCCCAGTGCAGAGACAAAAATTCCTAGCTGGCAGGCTAGAAAGTGTCAGGGTTCCCACAATAAAGATACAATAACCAGCCCCCTTTCTTCCCTTAAATTAGAGCATCAGGCCTAGAACACACCACAAGAATAGATATCCACCTTGATTTACCAACTTTTTTCTTTTTAAGCCAATCTCTTTCTAATGGCAACTTACCTATCTTGTATGTATCACATTACTGTGAATGTCCTATTTTGAACTTGCAAGTTTGATATTTTATAAAGATTCTTAACTTTTCTAATTTTGTATTTAATTATGCTTAAGGAAAAATATCATCATTTGTTACGTAAGCTGTCTAGGAACTTGAAGTGGCCAGGGAATGTTTCATAGCACAAGTGCCTCCTGATAATATAATTATGCTAGTCATCTAGCTTATCTTTCTACCTCAGTGAAGAACAGACCTATTATTCCAAGCCAACGCAGGGGGGAAAAGTGACCTGTCTCTCCAAATACCCCAGCAAGAAACTCAAGGAAAAGTGTCTGAAAATTGGGGATAGAAGGCTACAGGAGCAGGCTCCACGCCTCAGTTTCCTTTTATGTACCAGGAGGTGACTGAATCTGATTGACTCCAGGATCCTGTCCAGTCTGACAGCTTGAATTTGAAACAAACAGAACAATAATTTCAAAATCCAGAGACCAAGGAGGGAATTAAAGAGCAGCTGGGAGAATAAGGGGCCTGTCACAGCAAGAATCCAGGCCTGGGAGGGGGTGGGGGACCAGCCTGCAGAACGAGCCACTGGGGAACTCCTGCAGAGGGTCCAGGCTGCGACACTTCTTCACCACAGCGATGCCTGGGTGCAGCAGAAGGGGGCTCTGGAGAAAGAGCAGCCTCAGGCAGGAAGCCAGGGAGTGAGTTTTGGCTGAACCCTTCTTCTAAGCTGAGACAACAAAAAAGTAAAAATAGATTCCTGGTGAGTGTGTCAGAAGCAGGACTTGGAACAGAAACTGAGGCTGGAGGTGATCATGAGAATCCTTAAAGTGGTATGGGGGGGGCATGTCATGCTTAGGGGGGCTCCTGTACACGTACAGGGGAGAAGCCTGTCCAGTGAACCTTCTGTGGCCTCACAGAAAAGTCTTTCCCGGCAATCTGGGCTTTCACTGAAAATGGGCAGTTTCTCCTCCGGTTAATGTACACATGACCTACCCAGTCTTTTGGCTTTCTACAATTTCTATCAAGAATTCTAGAAATTCTTGCAATTGTGTTCAAATGACAGTTTCTATGCAGCCTCTTTCTGTAATGTCTTCCAAACTTTCATTCCTCCCAGTCTGGGAGGAAAACATAAACTCTAGAAGCCAAGATTTGAAAACCTCCTGATCAGACTGCCTCCCGCCCCTAGCAGAATTCCCTTTTATCAAGGCCTCACTTGGCCTGAACTCACTTCCCAGTGAACTGACTCCCCTCGAGCTGCAGTGGATAACTGCAGCAAACACCCATCGCCCGCCCTGCCCTGGTACAGTATGCCCTGCCCTGCTATGGTGCTTCACACCGAGAGTGTGTTACACAAACACTCAGGCACTACCAGGTTACTCGGCTTCCCCACTTGGTGCGGGGCTGCTGTTTGCCACCCCCTCCTCCACTGGGCACTATGGTTTTGCAGTTTAGTTACTAGCACTCGGTAATGTTCACTACTGGCATTTATGCAGATTTTAAGTGGCAGCTGACAGCTTTGAGAATGGTTATCTTTGGGGGATATCAGCCTAGACCATACCAACCTCCCCTACGGTGCCTCTAAGGCCCGGAACGGGCATGTTTTATCATCGCTCACTCAAGGATGGTGGTGGAAACCCAACACGGTAAAAATTCTGTGCTGCAAAACAACGCCATTTGCAGCAACTCTATCAGCACACGAAGTAGAATTTTTTTTGCCAACTTTCCATTGGTAGGTTACAGAAAATCCAAGCCTGGTTTTATCTAAGGGGCAGACATTCCTTTTAGGCATCTAGCAACCCACGAAACACATGATTTTACTTTTAAATATCTTTATAGATTTTCCTTTAAAAAAATTCACTTCAGGGAGAGAGAGAAATGTGGATTTGTTGTTCCACTTACTTATGCATTCATTGTTTGATTCCTGCACGTGTCCTAACTAGGGATTGAACCAGCAACCTTGGCATATTGGGATAAAGCCCTAACCAGCTGAACTACCCAGCCAGGGCAGTTCTTTTCTAATAATAATAACTATTATTATAATTATAAGAATAAAATGCTAGATCACTGTAAAAATATATATATATATTTAAAGAAAGCAGAAGAATAAGAAAAAATCACCTTATCACTATTATGTTTTGTTTCTTTTTCTTCCAAGACTTTTTCTATATATGTAAACACAAATATAATATATTTTATTTTTTAATGGAATAGTCTCTATTTACAGTTTAGTAATTTACTTTATCCTCACTTGATTTACCAATATTTGTATGCCAGTTCAGAAAAAAAACTGAGTGAGAAATTAAATTCACCATGTTGCTGCCATTTCCCCCTAAACCCCAACAATAACAGACTCAGGAAGAAAAAGCTTGCTCAAAAAAGGAAGAGCTGAGAATTAGGATTTAAAATGTGGGTGCCTTTATGATTTCCTTGAAAAAATTCATGGACTTGGGTCCAAATCCGATCTATTTCTTTTTATGTCATAGGTACTCAGTGAGCCATTATGGAATCAATAAGAACCAAAGGGCAGAAAGCAGCCACCGTGTGTGGAGGAGACAATGTTCTGGACATGGCCACTGTCTGTTTTGCACGCGGGACCCAGGCCGGAATGAAGTTTGCTTTGTGCTAACCCCCCTTAGAGACTGTCTGATTATAATTACTCTTCATTCTGACATAGATCCGAGCCCTTTGCTTCCTGCTACGTGCTGGTCCCTGGAACAGGTTGTTCTCCTGACCTGGTCATGCATGTAAAATTCTTTCTGTGCCTGGTGGCATTCACGCACTATCCCCCCTTTACCCCACACAATTCTTTGGCACCTGCCAAGAGACACAAGGATCCATTCTGTCTTACAGCCACCCAACACCTGCCTCACATGTGAGTTTCCCTTAAAAACTCTACTAATAACCAGACTGAAGTAGCCAGCCTCTTTCTTTCCTCTTGCCCTGCCCTCCATTTATGGAGGCAGCTTTTCAGTGTTGGGGGCTTTCCCCTGGGTCTTTGTATACTAACACCATGGTCCCTGCTGGTGTGACAAAGAGATTCTGTCACTATGTAGAAACCAGAGTGCGCATCAATGGCACATACCCATCATCATAACAATCACTTGCAACACGGGCAAGCATTTTATGGCTAGATGCGTGATTCGGAACAAGCCCTTGGTCCCCCTCTAGCATTAGCCAGTGTGAGAAGCTATAAGAGAAAATGCCAACGTGCTCAGAAAGACATTTTATTTATAATAGGTATCACCATCAGCACTATTTCATTTCAGCCAGAGGAAGATTATAATGTGCTTAGGACAAGTTGAAATTTTTATTTGAGGCACAACAAATAAAACCTAAATCAAAGAAGTAAAACCTAAACATGAAAACGTTACCGCTGAGGGGAAACTTAATTATCAGTGAAATAACTACCCAAAAGAAGAAACGAACCATTTCCATCCTTTACTTCTGTCTGGCAATCTTTTAAACATTTTAACAGTGGAACGAACCCCACCATAAGCATCTGAAATGCAGCCTGCTCATATATCACACCTACATTTGGAGACTATCTGGCCTCCTTAACAGCACTGTGGGTTTTAGCATAAAAAGAAGAGGGGAGTTCCCTGTCTTTCCTGGACCAGGTACAGAATGAAATGACTGTGTATGTAGTGCTCTGAACTTTGTGTCAGCAGAAGAATGAGTATTATATCCCTTGGATTAGAAAGTTTCCCAAACATTCTGGCACAAACCATCCCTTCCTCACTTTGTGTTCCCTTGCCCTCCAATAAACCTTTAGCAAGTAATAGTCTTTTAAAGGGTTGTAAACATCCTATACTTATTTACCTCATATATAAATTTACCTCGTATATAAATACGAGTAAGGCAAATAAAGTCCAAACACCTATTATTTCTATTGTCCTTCCTCAGAAGGTGTTTGTTTTGCTGTCTCACCATTGCTCAAACTTACTGAAATTCTTCTCCTGCACATTTAAAGTCTGCAGAGAAGGCCACAGGAACTCCTGAAACTTACCATGAGTATAAGATGCATGCAAACAAGAGAGTGGTACCCAGGCCAGTAACCAAGTTTTCATCTCTGTACAGGCCCTGACCCAAGTCAGGAGCACAGATCGTGACGTTCTTCCCGTGTTTATCCAGCACTAAAAAACAAAGCAACCACAGTTAAATCAGAAAAACCTGTTGTAATTCATTCTGGAAAATTCAGGTAGCTCAGAAGAGTGAAGACTTACCCCTGGGAACTTACGCCCTATAGTCCTACTCAACTCAGACTAGCCTGTTGCTATTTCAAAGCACCTCTCCTCCCACCTCAGCACCCTCTGAGAACAAGACCCTCAAATTCTAGCTCAATGCTAAAGGGTCCTTCAGTTCAGGGCCTTAGAAAAGTCTTGCTCCTTTTTAGTACTATTCAAATAGTAAAAAGTAAGCTTAGATTCATTTTTCAGCTGATCTGGCAGCCTTTGAACAGAGACAGTGCCGCAGACTATGGAGTGCCCCTCCATGCCCATGCTCTCTGGAGGAGTGATACGAGTACCCAGCCCCCAACCGTGTGCAGGCAGTGTAACAGCCACCTGCCCACAGCCACCACCCAGAGGAGAGTCGTTTTACTGCCGGTGATAGGATGGCTGTGACATCTTTCAGGCTGTAACCTGGAAACTGCCTGAGGTGGCTGGATTTTTAAAACACTCTGAGAGGCTACATTAACAAAGATTTCTGTAACATTATCATCGGTGGCAGTTTTGTTGTGTTTTCATTTATTGATTTGTGAGAAAGAAACATCGATTTGTGTTCATCTTATTCATGCTTTCATTGGTTGCCTCTTGCATGTGCCCTGACCAAGAGGTCGGACCCGCAGCCTGAGTGCACCAAGAGGGCGCTCTAACCAGTCGGGGCCCGGTGGCAGTTTATTTTTCATCGAACACAGAGGTTTCCATTTTGAACCGTGAAGCTAAGTCAGATCGCCAACTCTGCCCAAAAATAAGGGACACAAAGAAAGGAAACCATTTTACAAACACGCGTGTTCTCAGTGTTTGAAGTTCAACTAAAATTATCTCTGGTACTCGCACTTGAAACAGTAAACATAACTGCGTGGGCTGTGGTTAACGGAATCTTTATTCTTAGGTCAGTGAAAAATGTTTTTAAAAAAACTGACCAAATATGAACTTTGCTATTTAAGTAGTAACACCTAAAATAAAAGTCTTTTTTGTTTCTAAGTCATACCTACAATTAAAAAGAAAATTACTATTAATCAAAACCCACACTAAGTTAAAATCAGAGATTAATACATAAAGTGTTAAAGAGACTAGATTTAAGTAAACTTAGAGTCAAGATAGAGAGCTTGTTTGAATAAAATAATTATATCCAGCCCTGGCTGGTGTGGCTCAGTGGATTGAATGCTGGTCTGCAAACCAAAGAGTCACTGGTTTGAATCCCAGTCAGGGCACATGCCTGAGTTGTGGCCCAGGTCCCCAGTGTGGGGCGAGTGGGAGGCAACCATACATTGATGTTCCTCTCATTTCTCCCTCCCTTTCCCTCTGAAAATGAATAAAAATCTTTAAAAAATTATATCCAAGATAGACTATACTTTATATCATGCCAACAATTACATCACTTTGCACTATAAATAGCTATAAAAATGAGACCCATACACAGTATGTGCGTACGTTAAGCCTTTCAAATCATCTTTGATTCCTAAATTTAAAAAGTAGAAAAACAATTTCAAATATTTTTGCAGTTGAATAAGGTTAATGATACTGTGATCATTGTAATGCATACTTAAAATTTATGAACGGAGTCTCATATATAAATGAGCTGTAAAAATCGGGCCACATATTCATTCTGCAAAGTATTAATAAATCCCATGGCTTAAGAGAAATTCTAGGAATATCTAGGTGAAAATAGCTCTCACATACTAGTTTTTATAAATGTATTTATTTATATATTTTTAAATATTTTATGTATTTTACTTTTAGAGAGGGAAAGGGAGAGAGGGAGAGAAACAATGTGTGGTTGCTTCTGCAGCGCCCCCTACTGGGGACCTGGCCTGCAACCCAGTCACGTGCCCTGACTGGGAATCCAACCAGAGGCCCTTTGGTTCACAGGCTGGTGTGCAATCCACTGAGCCACACCAGCCAGGGCAGAAATGTAAGTATTTTTTAAACAACTTCAATTTTTTTATTCTTGAAAAAAGAGTACATTTATTTAACTTGACTTACAAGATCAAATTATCAAAACATATATAATTTATATATACTTTTATATAGCACAAAGTGATCAAGATAATAAATTAACACACAACACATTTGGAAATCAAAATAAGAAAATCTGGTCTTTTACTGGCAAGGCTCAGGGGCTCATACAACATCCTATAATATGGTGCTTTTACAGTTCTCAAATAATCACTGCAACCACTCTACAACAGTAATAGCTCACCCTTATACAGCACTTAATGCGTGTGAGGAACTGTGAATTCTTAAAAGCCACCTTATAAAGTAGTAACCTTATTTAATTATCTTGTTAAATTACGAATTAAATTTAAAGTCAAGACGTCTAGGCAGAGAAAGGTAGTTAACTTTGTACAAGTTACGTAAGTGCCAAAACCAGGCTACCCAGGCAGTCCGAGTCTAGAGCTCATACACGGTGTGTTGTCTCTCTCAGTAACTGCTAAGAAGAGCATTTCAAGGTCACACAGCCAGCAAAGGGTGTGGCTGGGCTCAAATCTCCTCTTGTTGCCCAGTCCCGTGTTTTTTCCACTCTCTGTTTCAGAGAAATGACCATCTGAAGAAAAATACATTAATACCCAACGAAAAGAACAAAGCAAAACAGAGAAAGGTTCCCTGAAAACAGAGCGGGGAAAATGCAGAGTAGGCCTCCAAGCAAACTCAACAGCCCTCTTTGTTCATGCCTTTCCTGCACAGCAGGAAGACCAGAGAGAAGGAATTTTCATGTTTCTATCCCACCGTAAGGACTTTATTTAATGAAAAGTCTCAATCATTTCTCAAATTTGATTTATTTCAAGCAAGGGGGTGTAGCTCAGTAGAAGAGCACGTGCTTGGCATGCTTGAGACCCTGGGTTCAACTCCCAGCAGCTCCACCTGCAACTCGGCCTTCAACGGCACTCCTGAAGAAACACAGGCTCAGCTTGATTTACTGCAGCCCTGATCCCTGATACTTACACAATAGCTCACAGAGACAAATTTCTTCCCCCACAAATAGAAACATTCATACCGCAATCACGTGCTCCCTAACAAGGCCAGCTTACCTACTTCTTCAGGTTTGCTGGACAGAGCCGAGAACGTGAGATATGTGACGTAGCAGCTGATGAGGCCGGACTGCAGCAGCCCGGAGTGCGGCTGTCCTGGAAAATGGCGAGAGGCGGGTTTCCAGACAGTGTCTACACGCCAGCAACAATAAAGCACGCGCTTAAAAATAACAGAACTCTGCATCCCCCAAGTGATATTCCTCAAACTCAGACTCCTGCCTTTAAAGGAAAGAAGAGGCACCTACTGTGTTTCTCAGATAACACTAAAGATTTGGCAGTAGGAGGAGTTAGACAGTTAGCCTAACTGCTCTTTTAGAGATGACAAGTTCTGCCAAATTCTCTACCAACATCTTATTTTGAGAACAACTACAGCTGTACTTAAACCTGCTGCCTGGTCCCCTTGAGGTTCGTAACATTAGTTCTTAAATCACAAGACCTCAGAAGAGCATTTACCATCATTATTTGTGAGATCACGTGGCTCAGCGGAGTAAACAATAGACAGACCATGGATGGACTCCTGATTCTACAAGGCCAGCAGACACTTATAGTCTGTGACAGTGGAAAAGAGCTCTTATCTGTCAATGAATGAGCAAAAACTCTTCACAATACCAGAGCTGGTCCCAGCCCAAGTGGAAGACTATGGGGCTCACCATTCATTGGGAGACGAGCTATAATGTTTTGGCATTTATATTAAACTCAGTGTTTAGATCACTAAGAGTAACCAGAGTATAATAAAAGAAATTCATATTTTGGGGGGTAAAATTTTCAACTACCTGCTGGCATGAAAGGATTTAGTTTCACTAATTTTTCTCTCTGGTTAAATTTGTTTCCAGAATTATATCTATTACATTACAATGACCAATAAAGGTATAGAAATAGGCCCTTTTATAATGTTGCTCTTTTGGTATAGGAATAAGATTTAACTTAACAACTAAGGACATTAAACTAAATATTTCAAAATACTGTGACTATTTCAAAGATGTTTTAATCTGAATACCAGTAGTATTTTAGGAAATTCTTAACTGACCAATTAAAGAAAACGGAAGAATGATACTTTCAATATCAATAATGAACTTAAAATTTTTAGTACAGAAATACTTTAAAATTATTCAATACCAGCTCTTTTTTAAAGCATCACTTTAGAAAGGATTTAAGGGGCTATAAATTTACTTGACATATTTTCCTTTTCCCATCTGGAAACCTGAATGCCATGTACTTTTTTATAATCACCTGTACAGTAAAGTACCTACAAGAAACATGAAACCAGGGACAATTCTCTCTATAATCAAAGAGAGCATACTGGCCCAAGATATTAGAAAACTGTCATTTACAAAAGACAATTCATGCCCATACTTTCTAAAGCACTTTCAAATCCCTTATCTCTCCCTACAGCTTCGAAACAACCAGAGCAAGGACAGGCTCACAGGTTTCTGTTGGCTTTGCCAAGGAAGGACTTGGGTCTGGGGAGGGTGGCTCAGGGGCCAGCTGCCGGCTGAGTGGACATTGGATGTCCTGCTTTCTAACTGCTAGACCACACTCTCCCTGATTTCTGGTCCAGGGGCCTTGAGTGAGAGATGAGCCCAGAAAAAGCTCCTTCTGGAGCCTTCTCTTCAAGTTTTAAACAGATTATATAGGTTAGAGCTCAATATACACTAAAGGCACTTCCATTTAAAGGGTCCTTATGGTACATTACTTAATTATGGCAAAATCTATCTCCTTATTTTCTTGACTTCATTATGTTCAGATCTTTCTTGACATGAGGCATGCTTGACAGTCACATTCAGCCCAAGTGTGGGATATGAAGCAGAGACTGGAGCCCCCCCTTTCCTATTGCTGACTCATCCCTGATGCGTTAAGAAATGACCCTGATTTTTTTAAATTAGGTTTGCTCAAAGACACTTGTACTATAAATAAGGCAAAACAACAACAAAACTGTGCTTACGATTTTGGACACAGGGAGAGATGGCTACCAGTGAAATCAGCAGACACAGGCCTCCGTTTACCCCCAGAAGGATTTTGTTTTCCATGCAACCATCTTTCTGTGTGTAAAACACTGCCATCAAAATCAGGCCTCCGGCAGCAACAGAGTACATGGTGAGGGTCACCAGGGCCAGGGCGGCGTACCACAGCTTGTTGTGAGCTGTGCCGGCAGTCCTGTTTCCACAGGGAGGGGCAAGAGGGAAGGGAGAGAAGACAAGTCAGTGATGGCCACGACAGGCTCTGACATTCACCAGCTCCGTCATTCACTAACGCTGTCAAGCCATGGGCCCATCCTATCCGAGTCGACCCAGGGACATCACTTTACCAGCGCTTATGCTCCATCAAAGCTAGAAGGTAATGGTCAACATGAAAAAAACGTACAGGTTCAAACTTAGAATTCTTCCTAAATGCTGAAAGAACTGCTTTTGACTCCAGTGTATCCCTCACCTATAATGAAGACCCACAGGCATTTACTGCAGCTTCCCCTCTCTGAGGGTGAATTAGCCTGGAATAGGTTTTGGGAGTAATGAAAAGTGGCTCTTTGCTGGAGCTTACTTCCAGGTGTCCCTATACACACAGAGACTGGAAGGTGCCACCGTTGTTACTCCCAGTGCCGCCAGCAGCTCCCACTGAAGCTTATCTTGTCTTCAGAGAGAGAAGCAAACTAACTCCCCGCAGGGAAAGGTGGGCCAGCCTCAGCTCTTCCATCCCGGCACTGAAAGGGCGCATCTGCAACAGTTCTGCTTCTCCATAGCAATGCCAAGTATGATGAAGGGAAAACATGACATTCAATAAAAGTGGAGGATAGAATCAGCCCGGGAAAAAGTAAACATTTTAAGGGGATTTACAGTGAAGAATGTAAAAGAAGAGATTAATGTGCTTTCTAGTTTATGTAACTATTAATAAAGGGATGGAAGACATAAGTGGTGGTTTAACAATCTATAGAAATTGTTCAGAACAAAGAAAAGAGTGCTTCTAAATGCGAAATGAAGAGGGCAGAACAACAGAAAGAATGGTTTGAATCAGTCATCTGCATTCTGATTACATTGCCCTATTTGTAACCACAGTCTCACAAACCTTCAGAAAAAGCATCTTGCTTGATGTTTTTGCAGAACTGGAAAGTGTTCAAGAAACCCAGCTAAAACGTTTTAATGATGAAAAACTTACTGCAGCTAGAAACAAAGAAAATAGGGAGGGCAAGGCCAACATTGACAATGACCGTTATATTCTTGAACCGGAGCCAGGCTCTCCAACGACCACAGAATTATTCTAACATAGAAGGCACACAGAGGAAGTGAAGACAAAAATGAGACTCAAGAAAGGGGGGAGAATTCTAAAAGCCAAATAGTAATTCACGACACAGAGAGAATGAATTATGTAGAAAAAGCTAAACAACTGCTGACCTGCGTGTGCGGGAGGGGTCTAAGTGTTTCTGCACTAGTCTTTTGGATTATCTTATTACCATATAAAGGGCTTCCTTACAGTCCATTTATGCGCATACTCCTCAAGTTAAATCTTCAACCCTAACCGCTCAGCCCCACTCCAAACTCATAATACCCAACTGCTCTGCATCCTCACTTGAAGGTCTAATCAGCTCACCCAATTTAACAAGTCCAGAGTAACTTCCCAACATTCAAACCTCCATCCCCTAAACCTGCTCTTCGCTGGTCTTCCCGACCTCAGAAAGTGACAACTCCATTCTACCCCTGGGGGCGGGGGTGGGGGAGGAGGGTGGAGGAATAAAGGGAAAAACTGCAGAAGCTCCTGATTGTTGTCTTTCTCTCCCCTCCCTCCTGCCCTGCCATCACCAGCAGCAAATTCTGCTAGTTTCAGAGTCAGAATAAATCTGAATCTGACTGCTGCTAACATCTGGCTTCAAGCGACCTCAACTCTCACTGGATTGTCTCCTACTGGCCTCCTTACTGGTGCCTCCAACTCCTAATCTTTTCTCTATAGGGGTCCTCAACTCCCTCATCGCGGTTCCACCCACCTTCCCCCAACAATCCATTCACAGTGGGCTGGCCAGCGAAGCTCGCCTAAAGTCTGCCTCCTTTCCACCCCTCACCCCGCCACCCCCCCCCATGAAACCTATCTCTCATACCAAAAACGTTGGGGACTGCTACACTGTATTAAATCCTTCTCGAGCCCTCCTGTTTCACACAATGGCCCCAGAAGCCCCACCTGATGTGGCCCAGTGCTGTCCCTTGACTTCACATCACCACTGTGGTCCAGCCACACTGGACACTCCTTTGCTCCTTAAACAAGCACAGCACAGACCCTGTAGTCCTGCCTCGGCTCTCCTCCTCCTTCCTTCATCTGGCTCACACCTTATCAGGAAGCTGTTCCCTTCCTTCCCTGCTCTCTCCAGCTCCTGCACCCTGCATTCTTTTCCCCCAGAGCACTTCTCACCAATTGAACCTATTCTTTGCTTGATCAATAAAGTTAATTATCTCCCCCACCCTCCCTGAAGAATGTAAGGTTTACAAAGCAAGACATAGTTGTGTTCATGGCTGTTATGCTCTGGAGGGGCTGGCAAATAATAGGCACTTCATGAATACTGATGCAAGTACTGTCGGCTGCTAAATAATAACTTTATGCGGCAATGTTAACAGAGTGACTGCCACTCCTGCTGTTCCAGATTCAGTCGGTCTTCCTGATGACATCTCGCTTCCTGATGACATCCCAAACAAGTGCCATGACTTATGTTTACAGTCTTGAGGCCTGCCACACAGTACTACCCCACTGTGAATACATGCTAAATGAGAGGCACCTGAATGGAGATTAGAACAGGACCAGGCATAGAGCGGAGCTCGCGGACACAGCAGCCAGCAGGGCCTGGGCTGGGGGTGAGGGGGCTCGTTAGAAATACCTGAATACACTATCTGCTCTTTAGTTCAGTTTTGATATAAAACTGACCCTTCAAATCACAAAATTTCAGCTAGAAAATATTAAAAACAAGACAACAGGCCTCAAATGGAGTGCTTTATGCTAAACACCAAACCAAAACAGCCACATTACAGTTTCAGCTCTCCCAGCAATATGACCTTCCGTTCTGTGAAGTACACTTGATTACTTATACTACTACGGTCATCCCATTTTTCCTTCCCTTCATTCCCCTGCACCGTGCACCCCACGTCCCACCAGCAGTGCCCTCCCTTAGTCCAGAAACACAATCTTAAACCGGTCAATCGGGAATCCTCTGATTAACACTGCTAGGGAACCTGCCTGATAGACTCCTGCCATCCCCTACAGGAGAGCAACCCTACAATAACCAGCCCGCTCTCCCCTAGGATAACGTCGTTGTCCCCGCTCCCTTCAGCCTGTGAAGCCTCAGTTTGCACAGTTCCTTGGAGCTCTTGATGCTGCCCAATTTGAATGGACTTTTTGCTCAAGTAAGCTCTAAAAAATTTTAATATGCCTCAGTTCATGTTTAAAAACCCCCATTAAACACCTAGTCTAAACACAGCATTTTACAGGTGTGAAAATGGAGGTCAGAGAGGCCAAGTGATGTCCCTAAAGTGAACAGCAAGCTAGAGAGTGAGAGGCATTAAAATCTGCACCCTCCTGGCCCTTGATCTTTCTGTCCCACTGCCTTTGGGATCTTCTTCTCAAGATCTTTACAAAATGGAGAAAAAAAAAAAAGAGAGAAAGTACTTTGGTTGTTCCATGAAGAGTGATGTAAGTATTACATTTTCTACACTAACCTTGTAAGCAAGAGACTGTTTAAAAACACAGCAAAAACTCTACATTATATTAACTTACATAAAAACAATGTTAGTGTCCTGGCCGGGTGGCTCGGTTGGTTGGAGCATCACCCCGTACACCAAAACATTGTGGGTTCTATCCCTAGTCAGGGCACACACCTAGGTTGCAGGTTCAATTCCTGGTCTGGGGGCGTATGGGATGTAACCAATAAATATTTCTCTCTCACATCAATGTGTCTCTCTCTGTTTCTCTCCCTCTCTTCCTCCCTCCCTCTTTTCCTCTCTCTCTAAAATCAGTAAACACATCCTCAGTGAGGATTTAAAAAAATAACAATAACAATATTAGTGAGCTTCCTAGCTTAATCCTAATTTTAGACAAACCAACCAACCAACTATAAATATGTTGACAAAAGGGATTTTGTTGGGATATTGGCCTCAAAGCCAGGACAATAGCAACATTATCTGCTGCAAAGCTCTTAAGCCATTCTTATTGAGTGGCTTCTGGAAAGTTTTTAAAGCAACCAAACTCTTCCAAAAGACCCATTGAAAGTCGACATCAATAATTAGTCCCAGAAAATGGCTCCAGAATCAATCATAACATTAAAGTCAGAGTGAAGAAGCACAAGTATTCTCAAGAGAACACACAATTTAATGGACAAATCAGGTACTCAGTATCGAAGAGGTTAATATTTTATCAGGAATTTTTTTATCTGAGTATATTTGTGAACATTTTAGGAAAAATTTAGGATGACGTACTTACTTTGTCTAATAAAAAATTCAGAGTGAGCCCTGGCTGGTGTGGCTCAGCAGACGAAGTGCCAGCCTGTGAATTGACAGGTCATCAGTTCGACTCCCAGTCAGGGCGCATGCCTGGGTTTCGGGCCAGGTCCCTGGCTGAGGGTGTGTGACGGGTAACCGATCAATGTCTCTCTCACATCAGTGTTTCTCTCCCTTTTCTCTCCCTTCCTTCCTCTCTCTCTAAAGACAGATAAATAAAATCTCAAGAAAAAAACTCGGAATGAAAATACAGTAACAATCATCATGGAGAGTGATATGTGGAGAACATAAATAACTAGGTTTCGGGGATGACTCGAAACCCCAGGACAGCATGCACAAACCTAGACATGAACACCTCTCATACCTAGAAATCTGTATGATTCTAGAGATTGACTTGAAACAATACCAAGACATATCTGTAGTGCTGCTTATATGGCTAGTCAGTGTGCTGTAAACACTTTAGAAGCTGGCCATAATAAGCATTTGGGTGCTTACTCCAGTATTTACCAAATAATCAAACAATTAACACTATCTTTACACTCATGCATCTCCTGGTTTGATCTTTAAAAAATAATACCAAAACAAAATAGCAATGACTACTACCAAGTTGAGAAATACAATCAAAATGAAAGATATTTTGAGAGAATTTGAACAGCATATTTTGTTTTTTCCAGAATAAAAAATAAAATTCACATTCACAGAAAACTTTCTAATCCCCTCCACCAATAAAGAAAAAAAATGTATAAAATAACCTGATGACTAGAAATTCTAACCTATAAATAACAAAAGCCTTACTGGGTACAAAAGGCAGCAATTTTCATTCATATTTTACAGGTAAAGTAAGACAGAGAGCAGCTAAGTGCTTTGTCTAGAGTCACAAAGACAGTCAGGTTGACCTCAGGACTCAAGGGGCTGGCCCCTAGTCTGGCCGTCATTTCCTCAGTGTAGATCGGCAAGAATAAAGACTAGGCATTAACAGTTGGGCAGTTCCCACTTATCCTGTGACATGAAATTCTACTTTCAAGGCACCTAGAAAGAGTCTGGCCACGTCATAACATCATCTGAGAGACCAAATGAGAGAGGGCAGGGAAAAAAAAGAGCCAAAAGGTGAAAAGAAATGCAGTGACAGAAGGAAAGGTAAAAAGAATCAAAAAATAGTTTGGGAGAAAAGCACATGAAGAGGTCCAAAGAGCAAGGAGGAGAGGTTGCCGGCAAAAACTGCTGTTGTGGCGGGCTGCTCATCCCACCGGCAGTGGAGCGCCTTTAGCAATACTGTACTGTGGGCAGTGTCTCCGAGTCACTGAGTGAGTTCACTTGGAAGCTTTCCATAAAGGCTCATACCAGTTCTTGTTCCATTTATGTGCAAACTCCACAAGCAGGATGAGCTGGATGCCTATGAAGAGGAAGGCTCCGACGGCTCCCACATAGCGCCAGGCTGCAAAAGAAGACCACCCAAGAGGAGACGACATGACTGTTCCAAAGAGTAATGACTACAGTCCATTTTTACTGCATGCTCTCTGTACCTGCAACACATTTCATTTTCACACAACGATACTACTATTAGACCCACTTTACAGATGACAAAAACCGAGTCTACGTAAGTTGACACAGTGCCTTACTCAGTACTGGGTGTAGCTGGGGTGTAAACACAGACAGTCTGGCTCTGGAGCATCCAAGCTTAACCTCCATGCTATCATTGCCAGCTATGCTAACAGGCGCAGTAATTCATAAAGTCAACATGGCCCACAAATTAAAAGTAAAAACACACGTTGCTGGAAAAATCAAGGGCTGTAATTTAATTGGATAGGGAGCCACTAGTGCCTAGTAAGAAAATGAGGTTTAGACTCGGGGGCCAAGGACTCAGACTCTCCTTCTGGCTCGGTCACAGAGAAGCCCTAGCACTGGGTGAGCTGTGTCACGTCTCTGGGCTTCAGGTTGCCTATAGAAACGACTGAGCTAGGCTAGAGGACTGCTAGGCCGCGTCCCATTCTAAAGATACTGTGCTAATGCATAAAAGTAGGTCTTTGGGGGACAGAAAACCAGTTAATAGCATTTTAGGTAAAAACAAGACATGGATATAACTCCCTTAAAGAGTATATAAAATTAATGTGATCTTGAAAAACTAGCTGGACCTTTATATGGGACTATTAGGGTCTACGTCTGTTCCATATGGACTGACATAAATGTGAATACTTTTACTATCTTATTTAGGATAGTGAATTCATTGGGGTGGAACGGTGTTTTGAATCACTGAAATTTGGACATTTTTTCCTCCTTAGCTCATGGGAAGAAGGGCCCCCAGGTTCAGCTATGATGAAAGGCTTCATATTAAATTAATTCTGGTAGGTTCTATCAATAAGGAACACAACTCAGTGTTACACAGTCTCACTGAAGGCAAGGTTAGAAGTAGACTGGAGGATGCCTCTGTTGCCCCGTTAGGGCTGCAGATTTCAAGCTGCTGAGAAGCCCTGGCCCGTGCAGTGCTCAGAAAGAGCAAGGTCTCCGGGGCCTCTTCAGACGGGCTGGTGGTGTCAAGCTGACATGCTAAACTGGTTTTCAAACAGATTTTAAGTGCTTCACTTTCCCTTCAGGCCAATAACCTTAAAATTATTTTACCTCTTCAGCCCGTTGAGGAAGTAGAGGCCCTCCCACAGCCTGCCAGGCAGGGAGGGAGTGGGAAAGGCAAAGGAGGAGGGGACGGAGGGGGATGGGAGCACAGACAGTGGATAAAGTACGGGCAGGCCAGGAATTTTTTTTAAGGCACAAGAAAGTCAGTGATTCAAAATATCAAAGGCACTGTGGACTACACTTTTGAATCATTTTACAAAATGGGTAAAAACAAAATCCATGAGGACCCATATGTACCATTCAGGAAGGTCTCCTGGTCAGGAATGAAGAAAGCTCCTGAGCACATGGCCCCCAACAGCAGAAGCTTGAAGAACCAAAAGCTGGAAAGAAAAAAAAAAAAGGAAATGTATTTAAATGATATTCAAGGAAGGACAAAAGACCTCTTAGAAGGGAAACATGTCACTCCATGATTCTGCCATTGGTACTGTTCTCTCCAAATCGAGGGGAAGTAATTAAGTGACTAGAGACTGCCTTTTCCATAATTAGACAGACTCAGCATAGCCTCTGATTGTGCAAAACACCATTTTGTTGCAGGACTGGAAATGACCTGGGGAAAGGTCTTGGTACAAGAAATTAACTCTTGTCTTCACTGCGTTTCTCGTTATGGTACCAGGGTTACAAGGATGATTCTTCTCATTCTTCAGCCACTGTGTGGTGACAAGTATTAAGTCTCCCCTTCCCTAAAATCAGTGTCGGCAATTGCAACTGGAGGGAGAGCAGTGCGGGGTCTGATGATCGGAAGTGGTCCTGGACGGCTGTTCTGAACACCGGGGAAGGGAAGCCTGAGGACTCACCCATTGTGAATGTAGGCTCTGCAGCTTTTGCTGTTGCTGACATTGAGGGTCAGGAGGCAGAAGATGAAGAAGAAACAGGCCATTCCGAAACAGACTCTGTACACCGCAGAGTACCCCACCAGCTTCTCGCACGTGTCGCCAGCTTTAATGCCTTTACAAATGTCTTCGTAAAAAGGAATCTGAGGAAAAAGCGAAAACAAGTCACGTCACAACTGGGCGAAGAGGGGCCGTGGGCAGTACTCCTTCAGCCTGCAGGTCACGGCCCCGCGCGGAAATGCACCACACACACAGAGAACAGGCACCGAGAAGGGAGGCCCTCTTCCAAAGGCTGTTTCCCAATTTCCTCCGACTCTTTCGTACAGTTACGGTGCTCAGAATGTACCACTCAGCCTACACTTGCCCCAGATGAATTCTGAAATCCAGTATCAGAATTTTCTTTAATTACACTTGCTATTTATGGGTATATTTTTCTTCTTGAAATGCACAAATGTACAGAATAAAAAGTGAGAGACTTCCTTCACCTCTACCCCAAAACCTCTACTGACCTCTCTTCAGAAGAGTTAATAGTTTGGCGAATATTTTTATTAGTTTACATGTATCAATGTGTGTATATGTATACACAGCCCCATACTTACATACAACACACATATACATTACACACACACAGCTTTATTATGTAAAAGAGTATAAGTATTGTTCTGTAATATTTTTCTCCGATTAACAATAAATTAGATATCCTTCCCTATTAACACATAAAATCCCACCCTGCTTTTTTTAACCACTATATATTTTAGAACGGACTAGATTAGAATTGATAAGCACTCCCACACTGACGTTCTGAGGGAGGTGTTTTGTTCCATGCACCTAGTTTTTGCTCTTACAAACACTGATGCAATACTGCTGTTGTGCACGCCTCACTGTACCAGTGCCATTACTTATGTGGAACAGACTCTGGACCCAGAAATGGAACCACCGAGTCAGGTAGTATCTACATTTTAAAATTTCAAGAGATGAAATCAAATCACACTGTCAAAGGCTGCCCCAATTTATCTCACCAGAATTTCTGAGACTGCTCATGGTCCCAACCTGACCACCCAATTTAACGATAAAAAACACTATTTTGTTTCAATGTCCTTCTTCCTCATTACTAGTAAGGTTCACTTCTTTTCTTAAATTTATGGCTATCTATGTTTTTCTTTGTGAATTGGCTATTAATTTTTTTCTTGATCCACTAGAGCTCTTTATTCACGTATCTTAATCTTCTGATAAATGTTGACAATGGGTTATTCTAGTCCAATTAGAAGGTTTCAATGTAACACCTATATTATCTGCATAATCAAAATGTTACACAATGAGAACAGGCAGTACATTTCTAAGAACACAGAAAATAAGGATTTAGTGATTTAAAAACTTGCTTATCTACATCAAAGCTGCACATTCTTCAGAGCAGAAGAAAAGTGGAAAATCACATTATAGCTGTAATTCACAAGATAAAGAAAAGATAACACAAAGGGGGGAAATGACACAATGGAGATAAAAACGAAGCATGATAATTTAGTTTCTTCTCCAGGACAGATATTAAAGTAACAATAATAACTGAGACTATTAAGATTTCCCTAAACAAAAGGAAGACTAAACTTAATTGGCGTTCATCTTCCTGAATGTGGATTCCTTCTCCTCAGAAAAGGTCTGCAGTCATTACTACTACACCTGAATCTCAAACATGGTTTTTCTAAACAAAACATGTTTTTTCAAAATTACTGCCTCGGGCAAAAATGCATTGTCACCAAGGCCCTATTAACATAACTGTTTCATAAACAGACACGAAAGAGTTCACAAAGAAATGTCAAATGTTTTTGTAGTCAGCACATTCTGCAACTGGCAGTTTTGGTTTTTTTTTAGATCATGGCAAGATGTAAATGCATAAAGACACAACTGTACTTTTGAACAGGCTACCAAACAAATTAACACACATGTAGGGTTGCCAGATAACATACAGAACGTCTAGTTAAATTTAAATTCCAGACAAACAATGACTAATTTTCTTAGAATAAGCATGTTGCAGACAGTATTTGGAGCACACTCTGACTAAGTACTGCAGGGGACACAGCTACACTGAAAGTGCATTCCTTCACCAGAGACGATGCTCAGAAGAGCAGGGGTCACGTGTCTGTTGTGCTAAGAACCCAGGCCCTGTCTTGTGGGCAAAGGGGAACAACTATTTAAGCTGGAATAGCTTTGTTTGTTTTCTTTTTCTTTTCTTCTTTATTTTCATTTTTTTCATGTTTTGGGTTTTTTACACCAAAATGTCTTTGGCTGCAAAGTGGAGGACACTGCAAAGGGGACAGGTCTGAGGCCGGGGTAAGTTAGAGGGCAACTGGTTCACTGCCCAGGTGATGCGTGAAGAAGGTAAACCAGTGGATAATAAAAATTCTGTAGGTAGAAGTCATAGTTGGCTGGACCTTATAAACAACAAGAATGAAGTCAAGGATTGGGGGAGGGTTCTCGTCTGCTTTAATTTTTTGCTGTTTGTCAGGGTGGGGGAAGAGGGCTGGCGGAAGGCAAAGAGCGGAACTGGAAGAAGAGACCAGCAGTTTGTGTTTAACTAACAGAGTTCAGGGCATCCTGGATCTTCCCAGTGAGGATGGCTGGTCCGGAAACTGCTTCAGAACAGCAATTAGGACTAAACACACGGATAACAGGAAGTGACCCCAGGCAGGTACTAAGAGAAGTCAGCCGGTGCTTCCTGAAGGAGTTAAAATTTTTCAGATATTGAAGCATGCTGGAACCCACTCAGAGTGAAAGTTTCAGAGCCTCTAACAACAACAAAAAAAGCTACAGCCGTGAGTAGTGCCAGTAACAAGGAAGTAATACTGCTTTCAATCTGTGACAGCCACATTCACTCCACCTGACTTTAACAGGCTGTTTTATTTATAGGAGATTAATTGCTCTATACTATTCATTCATACCTTTTCTTCCCTCCCTTCTTTCTTCTACGCATCAGCAAAGCTCATTTCTCACACATAGGCCCCAACCCAGCCCAGATTTCACCTTCAGGCTCTTCTCTGCCCCCTGCCCAAGCCCACTCTCCTCCTCCTTCTAAAACCCACTTGAAGAAGAATGCTAATAATGCCAGCTAGGCCTGAGCTCCTAGCAATCATCCCCTACAAACGTCCCCCGCTGTTGACTCCCAGGCTCCCAGAGGCCCTGACACTCATCAAAGGGTGAGTATGTGGCATGGCATATTTCACCCAAAATAAAAGTAGGCAAACACCCCCCTGCCCCAATACTAAGGTCTGCTTTATGCTCTGCGGGTGACTTAGTCATTTATCAATGGCTTTCAGTAAACAGTGAGTATTTTTAGGCAAAGAACCTCGAGTTGAACAAGCTGGCAGGATTTAGCAAAGGGAATTTGCTCTGATTAAATATTTGTTGTTCCAAACTCCATCCCAGTTTTGGAAAAAGAAAACATGTAACACACACAGATTATACACTGTGGGGTGAAGGGGACTGGCCTGCTAAGGGTGTTGCCTCTAAAACCTGGCTCTGGGCATCCAGGGACACCACAAGTATTGGTTCTGTGCAGACCTAGGGCCAGAGATTTCCTGCCATCCCCCAGGCCATCGAACTGAAAGTCACAAATTATCAGGAAGAACAAACAGCTCACTCCCAACCCTAACTCCACCACTAAAGTGGGCAAATTACGCACCCTCCCTGAGCCTCAATGTCCCTTCTCGTACAATGAAATAATACTGCCACCCTGTACATCTGAAACTAATATAAAATAATATTGAACATCAACTGTATTAAAAAAAATTTTAATACAGCCTTCCACCTCATGAAGTTGTTCTGAAAATTAAATTAACATCCTTGTAAAGTACTTGGCATCGTTCCTAATCCATAATATCCATTAAGTAAACTTCCTTAATTCTGAGGTATTATCTTTTTTATAAAAAGAACTTTTGGGGAAGGGAGTCTGCCTAGGACATGAACCACTGACTGGCTGATGCGTTCTGATTTAAACATGGTGGGAAATGGGCATCTCAGGACGCAGAGATGCTCTGCTCACCTCACCAAGGGAATCACTGGAAAGATATAGTATACACTTACTTGTCTTTGGAAGACCTAGTCACCACCCAAAAGAAAATATCTGAACTCCCAAATCATGGAAGAGATGTTCAAAACATCAACACAAGTATTAAATTAAAAAAGATGGGATCTAGGAGAAAAATCTACATAATTGTGTCTACATAGGAGAAATGCTAGTTATGCCCCCAAATAACTTCCATCTGAGGCAAATAAATACTCAGAAACAATAAATATACAGACCTACAGAAAGACCTGCAGATCTAGTTGGCCAGGAGCCCAGAGCTGTGGACTTAGAAATCAAGTATAGACTTTGAGAATGAGTCTTATGGAAATGGAGGAGAGGAGGATGAGAGTCATGTTTTTGTAATATCAAAGGATTATTTGGGAGAGATGAGAACATGGCATATTAAGAAAGCTAATGATTTTATATTCCATTACATCAAATTTCTAGGGCAGGAAATGAAACTAAGATGCAAAGAAAGCTTTGGGCAGCTCAGCATGAGTGATGTCATGAAAACCAGAAGAACTAGATCAGCATGTACTATTTAATAACCCTTACTTGAAAAATGACTTTCCATACTGAGAGTCTTTCTCAGCCTGCCTCTCTCCTTCCTGATAATCTAACTTGTCCTCAGACTTTCTAAACAATTCATTTTTCTCTGCAGGTCACAACAGCGACGCCTGCCTGTTACCCACCAATGGACAGAAGCTGAGAAATGCGATTGCTAAAATCAGTTCCCACACTCCATGGACAGCCTCTAGGCAACCAAGGCTCACTTCTCAGTCAGTTACTATCTTTGACACCCTTTGTGGGAAACAACCAGTAATTGCTTCTCTTTTGTTTGGGTTTCTAAACATTTTTAAGAGAAAAGTCCACATTGTGTCGTTATTAAAAGCCACAAGAGGAACAAAAATTCCTCAGGCTGGTTTCGTTTGACCCTGCCACCTCTGAAGTCAGGAATGCAATGCCCCACCCCGAACAGTCCTCACAATCTTGATGCACACCCGCAGCTTCTCCACCACGTGCATTTCATCAGGACCCAACAGCCGCAAATACGATCAGACAATCAGAAAGCAATTCTTATCAAAC